AAAAAACTCTTGATTTGGAGTTGTAATGCAAAAGATATGACTACTTAAAGATTGCTGAACTACAAACCCAGAATTCGCTGTTTTGCAACTTTTTGCATATTTTGAGTCCAAATTACGTCTAAATGGTGGAGAATGGTTTGTAATGTGATTTTATGACTTTCAAACGTCTCTCTAACGTCACTTCACTCAAAATGACTCACTTTCTCATAAAACTCTCAAATACTAGTGCTCCTTCAGCAAAGACACTATCAAGGTCTTGCACTAAGCTCATACACTCACAAATCCAGGAGCAATGACTTCAACAATTCACTAGCAACACTCTACCATAAGATCTCAACCACCAAAAATAAGCAACAAAGAAATAATGCAAGACCAACTTACTTGGTAAGAGAATGTGGGCCCATAACGTATTGAAACATAGAAAGCATACTCCACACAAGTAAGTTAGGACCAGCAAGGTTGCACTTTAACAAATAGAGTGTGGTATGAGATAATTCTTCCCATGCCAACCCTTTCCTTATATACTAGTACCAAGGTACCAAGTGCTACAACCCATATGGAATATCTCCTAGGACCAGCCCTCCCCTTGTACTCTAATGCACTATATACCAGCACCTAACCTTATGGGATATGCCTAACAACACTTATACTCTATTGACCATTAGCAACTACTTAAAGAGTTCTTTCCTTCAACATATAGGACAGCTTTTCCATAGATTCTTCTAGTTCCACATCCTTCTTTGGAGCAATAATGTTAATTTCATGGTACGCAAATTTGATGTGATTATGTTAATTGATGCTCTAGACTCGTTGCATAGCTTATAATTTCAGTGTATTCCTTTTCTTTTATTTTATTATTTTTTTTTTTAATCAGTGCTTTTGTTGTCATATACCATGTTCCCCCAAACAATTTATCCTGTAAAAACTATTAACCCCTAATAATTAATCAAAATTTTAGAAACTGTGATTCTTCTTTATGTTGCACAATTAATGACCTTTGAATTTTAATAATCAATTGGTTTCATTGACTTTTTAATGAGTAACAAATGAATTTAACAAAGGCCATGTGGGAGGCAAAATCAAATGAATACATATGATTAGGTGAGGCAAGGCCATAGGGTTACCACAAATGCAAGCAAAGAGTCTGGGGCCTTGGCAAGTATGATTTTCATATTGCCTTCAAATTGTCACCTCTAATTAAAACTTACTTTTGCAACAACTGATATTATTTGTTAAAAAGAGTATTTAGTAATTATATGTGTCTCTCTATATATATGTGTATATGGGAATGTTAAATAGACCCAAGTTTTTTCTAAATCAACCTATTCTAACCATCATGAAAATAAATAAATAAATAACCTCTTGATTCATTTCTCTACTATTGGATCTGCAACAAATAAAAATTAACCACATTCATCATGATTACTCTAATCTTCGTTAAGGGTAGATGTATTTAGTAAACATATGGATCTATTTAACATTCTCTCTATAAATATGAAAGAATATAAATATGAAAGAACATTCATTCAATCACATGATTGAAATCAACAGTAATTTTAAAACATAACAAGTATTTCTCCTTAGTATTCATGGAAGACAATGTCATCTTTATAAAATGCAACATTAATCTTTGTGCATACAAGGAACTTAAAGCTTCACACATTAATGATATACTTTTTAAAGATGGTCATGTTATTTGTAGACCATTGTGAATCAGTTGTTTAGGAATCTAACTCTGAGTACAAATGCTCCAAGTATTGATGCTCTTAGTACATATCTCATACAAAATATGGAAAAATAATCAATTGATTACTACCTCTTCACACATGCCAAAATTGTTGATTTTTCTCATTTTGAAAAGAATTTGCACTAAAGTCATTGCCATTGTTTGGAAAAAGATAAGGGTTGTCTGCATGAAGAGTGAAAAATACAGTACTCATATTTCTTCAAAGCTAAGAGTATTATATTACTGTACAATTCTAGATACATGTGTTTGCATATGAATGAATGTACCTGATAGGCATCACACGGAAATAGTTACTCCTCGGAAATGGGCACCAACGGTAATAAATGCAGATCGGAAATAGGCGCCGTCCGGAAATAGGCGGCTCCACGTCAACGTGGCTGACATCCGATGTCCTTCATTCCCTTTGCCATCACGTTTTCGTATTCATTCCCTTCCCCTTCCCCTCTTTCACACTACCTTGGGTACTGTCTCCTCTCCAGTCTTCCTCTTCACTCCCTTTGCTACCTTCTTCCTCTTCCGAGGTTGCCAATTCCGTGATCGATTCCCTACACGGTGATTGATGTCCAGTCGAGAGTGATCCGCCGCAGGAATTTGTTCCGGGAGTTCTGCTCGGAGGATTTGAGAGTGCATTGTGTTGAGTGGATGTGGGGAACGCTTCGTGGGTCTTAGAGAACTGGGGTGAGTTGGATCTGTATGTGTGGTTTGCTTCCATTTGTGACTCAGGACGAGTCTGATTATGTTGTCAGTTGTCTCGGGGTTCGGTGAATTGTGTCGTGTTTTTGGGTTGATCACGGTGTTGGAACGGCCAATGCTGCGAAGAAGTGGTGATATATGTTGTGGATTGTGTTGGGAATTCTTGTGTGTTTGTACTGAAATGTTTGTTTGTTTGTTTGTTTTGTTTTGTTTTGTTTTTTCTTTTTCTTTTTCAAAGTCTAGTTGGAAGGACGTTGTTCATAGGGAGGTGGCTTAGAATACTTCTGTGATAAGACTCTCTGAGTTGTCTTGAATTTTTACGTTGAAACTTTTTTGGATTCTTATTAGAGGTTTCTTTTCCGTGGAAAGATATCCCCTAGTGATTCTTTTACCGAATTTGTGTACCTGGTTGAGAACATAGGTAGCTATTAGCTTCTCCCTCAATTAATCCCTGACCTGCCAGGTGATGGATTTTTCGTCGAGTCTATTTCTGAATCGTGTGCTTTTGCTTTATGAAGAGGCTGGGTGGAGTAAGTTCTGCGATCTGAGATATTCTGGGGAATCGCGTGTGAATATTTATGGCGGGATTCATCGATGTCCTGCGCTTAGGCGCATTGGATCAAGCAGTAGCAAGTTCCGCGGAGCTTTATGGTCGTTCTCGGCAGCACGATCTTAGGTACATTGCACTTTATTTGCTACCCTAATTTCTCTGGCATCGGCACAGTTTTGGCAGTTCAAGCAGAGTAGCCCCGTCTATCAGCTGATTCCGCAATGCTAGTTTGAGGTGAATGTGTGAAGTGGTCGGTAAGTATGTTTTCAGATCTGAGAGAATTAGGTCTTAGTTCAAACATTTCACCTTATTCCAATTGTGGAATGTGTAGGAATTCAAATTGATGTGTCTAGATTAACGAAAGGATGCAAGACCTTATCCAATCGTGATATCTATCAACTCAAATTGTTTTACAGTACGGTCTATGCCCTGCAATGACTTAGAATTTTTGCTCCATTTAGAATGACTATTCACAAGTAGGAACTTGAGAAACTACCTGTATCTGTGTTGAGAAGCGCATTTTGGTTGGTTGGTGCAGATGTGGATCACCTCGGAGGCAGCGCGTAATGGTGCGTGCCGCAGCGGAGGGTCCAGATTTGAGTGTCACCGTAAATGGTTTAAAATTTGCGAACCCATTTGTTATTGGATCAGGACCTCCAGGTACCAATTACACTGTCATGAAGCGTGCATTCGAAGAAGGATGGGGCGGTGTTATTGCTAAAACAGTATGTGTTCTTCACTTCTGTTCTATTTATGTAAAAGTTTCACTAGCTTAGGGTTTGCAATACCTTTTATTGTAAGGAAATTAAGGTAACAGAACGTTCTTGCTAGTTGCATCTTGTTTAAGGTTTTCTATTTTAGTCTTCGTCATTCCTTCTGATAACATTTTTGAAACTCAGATTAGGCAGGGTTAGATTTTTGCACAATGATTCCGTAAGTTCGAAGGGTTTTCACTGCTGAGCTTGTGCCTGTTGATGTACAGGTGTCGCTAGATTCATCCAAGGTGGTGAATGTGACCCCACGCTACGCAAGACTTAAGGCATCTGGAGCCCCCGGAACCAAACCCGAGGTCATCGGATGGCAGAATATTGAGCTAATCAGTGACCGCCCTTTTGAGACTATGCTTGCAGAGATGAAGCAGCTAAAGGAGGAGTTCCCTGACCGTATCCTCATTGCATCTATTATGGAGGAGTATAACCGTGATGCCTGGGAGGAGATCATTGAGCGTGTCGAAGAAGCGGGTGTGGTATGTCGTAACTTCACCCCCGATGTATATTTCCTTCTGCTGTTTTAGAAGCAATTTCGATGCTTACCGCTCACTCGGCATTTTCAAGTCTGGTTTTTCTCTGCGAAGAAGGAATGTCATTTGTTCTCATTTTCTGAATAATTCAAAGACTGTCAAATTCTAGATATTCGCAGAGTAGTTTTGCTGGAACATGACTGGAGTCCAAGTGCTACATCCACTAGAAATATTGTAGGATTATTTATTAGTGTAGAATATTGACCTTTAGAGTCTAAGCGTATCGTCAATCTGCATCTCGATGACTTGGCACCGAATAATTTGGCAGGATGCTTTTGAGATAAACTTTTCGTGTCCTCATGGGATGCCGGAGAGAAAGATGGGTATGGCCATGGGACAAGATTGTTCTGTTCTGGAAGAGGTTTGCGGCTGGATCAATGCAAAGGCTACTATACCAGTTTGGGCTAAGATGACGCCCAACATCACAGACATTACTCAGGTTTTTCTTGGCACACATTTGATCATCTTTAACTGTAGTTTTCATGTCATGCATTACGATTAAGGAAGGTCCATGGCATTTGTCTACGTTTTGACACGAGTTAAAAAATTTGATGCTATTTCACTCAGTCTTTTAAAACTTTATGCTTTTGTGGGTGTTTGGGTAGGACAGCCAGCACGCACAGCTCTGAGATCAGGTTGTGAGGGAGTGGCAGCAATAAATACAATCATGAGTGTCATGGGTATCAACCTTGACACTTTGCGACCCGAGCCGTGTGTTGAGGGGTAAGGACCATTCTCCTAATTCTTTGTGGATAACGTTTTGCTGACAGCTTTACACGGTTCTGGTGAATGAAATCCATTTCATGCTTTAACATTTCATTCACTACTCAAAAAATAATGGCATCTTCGTGAATATCTTCTTGGCAGTTACTCAACACCTGGTGGCTATTCATGCAAAGCTGTACGGCCAATTGCGCTTGCAAAGGTTATGTCTATTGCTCAAATGATGAAGACTGAGTTTCCCGGTCAAGATAGATCCCTGTCTGGTATTGGCGGAGTGGAGAGTGGCAGTCATGCTGCCGAGTTCATACTTCTTGGCGCCAGCACCGTACAAGTTAGTACTGAATCACGTCTGCATTTAGTAGCAACAGTTTCCTTTATCCATCTTTTGTGTGCTTTTAATTACTCGCTTGCCTAGACCATAGCATTGAAGGCGCAAAGATGAAGCTGAATAATCCGCTAAACACGTGCATAACTGTCTTGCACATGAACAGGTATGTACTGGTGTTATGCTGCACGGCTATGGCCATGTCAAGACAATGTGTACAGAACTACAAGCGTTCATGGACAAACATGGTTTCATATCTATTGAAGATTTTCGGGGGTATGTCAATTCATTAATCACCTTCTATGCCTTCGCTGTGTTTTCCTTGGTTCTTCGAGTAATGTGTTCATTAACAACATCTTTTATGGCTGCAGGGCCTCTTTGGGGTATTTCACTACGCATGCCGATTTAGTGCAACGACAGAAAGAGGCCGTTAAGATTAAAAAGAAGCAGCGGAAGGGTTTGTCCTCCGACAAGGATTGGACAGGGGAGGGCTTTGTCGCGGAGACTGAAACTATGGTCTCCAACTAAGGAGTTCAGCTTCCATTGAAGCTGTGAATGTGGACGTTGGGCTACAAGTCATTCATTAGCAACTGCTAAAGCATTACATCCGTTGCTACGTTGATGAAATCTGTGATTTAGTGTAAAGATGTTTGTCAGGTTTAGAACAGAGGAGGCGGATTATTTACAGTCAAGAACTAGGATCATTGTCACATTTCTAGTTCACAGGCATAGTAAGTCATTATTCCAATGCAGTGATGTATGTGTCTTACACGGTTCAACATCTTATCCGAAGGGTGGAGAATTTCCATACCTGTGTTACACTGAAAATTGGACGTTTGAATATAGTCATAATTTTCTCCAATTGAAGAGATTTGTAGACATGGTGTATAATGGCTAATCGATAGATTGTCGTAAAGTCGTGTGGGGAATACGTGTACGTGCGCCTTGGGAATATATCTAACTAATTTTTATTCAATTAAATCAGTTGCGTATTCAAATTGAAAATCTATTCTATAAGTATATCGTTAATATTTCTTTTTTTCGATACTTTCCAAAGTATTTTTCACCTTTGGTATTCCTAAATTATCACACAAACCCCTCTCGGTTATCAAGAGACGGCAAATCTTCTAGAGGTCGATCAGGCTCAATCCACTTCCCCTCACTTGACAACACCAAACCCATGTTTTCAGACTGCCACCAGTGCCCTGGAATACAATACTCTTTTTTCAGGATATCCGAATATTTGTTGAGCAGGGCATAGTCCCGCCCTGTCATGAGCTTAAACTCTTTCGACTTGGACCCCTGGTGGCCATCAATGTGGTGCAAGTAACCCTCCAAGCTGTGCCAGTCAACGGGATCCCTAGTCCGCTTCATATATGTCGACAGCTTGTGATTCACTTGTAACTCCACGCCTACATGTCGGTAAGCGTCGCTCCACGGAGGGTGAATTCCACCAATGGCCTTTGGCACCACGTCGTGAACATTCACAACCCTGAGCGCCTTCAGGTCAAGCTCCTCGAACCTCTTTTTGAAGATAGCGTCGCCAATGCGGGGACTGCCGAATGAGAATACCGTGACGGGAATGATCTCCGAATCATTACCATTTTGGCTTGGCAACTTATTCAATCCCTTCTCCGCGACTTCGTACGCGGTAAGGATGGCTAGTGCTCCTCCGAGACTGTGACCTGTTATGGTGATGCTCAGCGTCTCGCCCTTGTAAAGTGTCACCAACCTCGACAACTCCCGTATGACCTGTGAACAAATCGTAGCATTATGTTCAATCTCTATTGACATTTAAAGAGATCCGCGAACCTGGAAACAAAGGACTAGTGAAGGTAAACAATACGCTACAAACCTGCTCCGAGGCGCTTTTCTGATTGAACTGCGACGACGACCGCTTGCACGTGTACAAGCTCCAGAACCCCTTCTCCACTTTGGGTTTCAGAATCGCGGGCTTGGAATTTCCTTCACATCCTGCTTGTGGATCCGGCGCAAGTGTCATGGGCGCCAATTGAATCTGCGCATCGACCAACCACTCAATGGTCTCCATCGTCCCTCGCCACGACACCACAATATCCCGCCTCCCTAACCTCTGGATTTCCTTCGGGTCCACAGCAACTGCAACAAACCCCATCCAATTGGATTGCACATCCCATCTCGTCGAGGACAGAGAAGATTGTATCACTCCCGGGAGCGGATTCTCGCATGTCACGTACAGGTACCTCGTTACCTGGTAGCCCGTATCCGGTTTTTGCAGCTTTTCAAAGACATTTTGCTTAGAGTATTTCGCGCTCCCCGCGTACTTCGACCATTGTTTGTCCTCAAAATTGTCATAGCACATCTGAGCGAAATCCCCATACCGGAGCAACTCCCTGCGGAGATCCTCATCCAAAGGATCCAAAAGCCCATCCCAGTTATTCAAACCTTGAATCTCTCGCCACCGAATCGCGAGAGGGATCCTTGAAACTTCGACCTCCGATTGGGACGATCCACTTCGATCGCTTGTTTCGAAGTCTGAGCTGCTAAACTTGGAGCTCTGAAAGATCCCCAAACTCGTGTAGTGGAGGCTCCCTCCTTCCCGAGATCCTATTCGATCGAGAGCCACGGATTCGCCCGAATGGATGTGGGAATCCGGCTGAGTAGACACGGGATCCGTGATGGGACTCAGACTCTTCCTAGAATCGGTAAGCTTCCCCGAGCGCGTCTGCCACAGATCCCCGAGCTTCCAGTCCCACTTCAGCCTTGCCGAGGCGGTCTTTTTGAGGCTTGTAGTGCTCTTGGTGGTGGATGGCGAACCCTCGTCTACGCTACACTGCTTATCTACGGAGTTGTTTGAGAAGATGGAGAACATAGAGTTGTGTCGCCTATGTCGTCGATCTTTCGATGCTTTGGACAACACAGACGGATCAGACTGCGCGCTGACGAGACTCGTGCCTTGCGGCATTCGAGGTAGAGAAGAATTTATCTCAACAGCATCCTCGTGCTCTGTGATGTTAGAGTTGGACGGCGTTACCGCCGCGCTCCCGTATCCCATCACCTTTATCTGCTCGATTAACTTTACAACCTGATTGCAAAAACTAAACTCTACACTACTGGGATCTGTACAAGCATGCCCTGGAGCTGTGTGCGAGTTGAACGTAGCACAGACTGGGAGATTCGAATGTGCTTGACGACACGCACTGAACTAAACCACTAAGTTAAGCACGAAAGACTACTTGCTCTTCTCGAGCCCTTACGTCGAGCCCCTCGTTTGACGACTTTACAAGGAACTGCAGGCGTCGACGACGGGCCGCAACTGATTCTTTGCGCGCTGTCAACCTGTATTCAAAGCTACCTAGACCAAATGAAAGGACTTTCTACACTAGTTTACTCTTGATTCGCAATTCAACTTTCCCGTTCCGCTCAATATTCACCTTCTTACACTCGGAATGAAGCTCTTGGATGTTAATAGCATCTTGGGTGCGTCTTGGAGGTTGTGTCGTCAATAGAAATCTGGCTGAATGGCTGCGTATTGGTAAGTTGGAACACTCATCACGCTACCCAAATTCACAATCCAAGTGACAGCATGCGATACCTAAACATTACCTAAACAGTGAGCGATCATTCAGTGATATAAAGCAGAGGCTACTTTGCTCTAATCACGACACAATGCGATCCGTGTAAGCTCAATCAGGCCCCACCTCACCAGAGTTTCCAGCACGGAACCCCAAAACAAACAACTATTGGATGTTGAGGATAGAACAAGCAACCTTTTTTCGCTGCACGTCGAATTCCTACCGCCTGCAGCATCTGCTGGCATGCGCGCCTCCCCAAACGTGGGCTGCAAGATTCTTACACCCTTAACTCCTGAGTGAAAGTCTTGCAGACTTGATTGACCTAACAGACTAGCTGCTGGCTTTCCACGAACGCGGTAATCGACTTTGTTCGTCGAGTTTCTATGGTAGGCATGAACGGATTGAATCCTCCACAAAACCAGGTGGGCAGGCAGAAATCGTTCACAATGCTGGTGCGAGGATTTGCATTGCGAGGAAGGGTGTCAGGAGACGAGAAAGCACTTTCATCTAACTTAGATTCAATGCAACTGATTGAACAGTAGAGTGCTTATCTTCACGTACCCATGTGAGCGAGGATCAAATTTAGATCCGAAGTGAAGACACGTTTTCAATAGAACTAACTACTAAAAGCCTGCGACCCAAATATGAGAAAAATAACAAACCATCCACGATTTGATTACAAGTAAGAACACGCCATCTAGAAAACGCGTCCTTGCCGTCTCTTCTGATGAAAGTCTTCAGGTAATGCAAGATTAGAAGTTAATCTGCTGATGTTCATTACTAAACAGAGGAAGAACTTCTTCCTTCCACGTTTGTCTAGCCCACAACACGGCAGAGAGACTGACAGCAATTCACTAACGAGATGCACTATTTATCTCTGAAAAATAATATATATATATATATATATATATATATATATATTTAAGACATAGCGGATACAGACAACATAGATGGAGAGTCGAGAACGAAAGCCACGGAAGTGCTTATCAATCCAGGTGGGACCAAAAGCTCACCAAGGTATCACAATTTTCTGAACTAGAACACTCTCCAATGGCAAAGAAGGAGGGCTTACACTCTTTCCAAACTCTAACAAAGCTTCGGACAGGTGCAAGAGGTCCGCCGACATCTGTCAATTGTGCTTTTGATGGGTGATATCCACTGCGAGGTGGTTTGTCTGCTTTTACTCCTCGTAATCCATAACCTTTGGGAATTCAGGGATATCAACAACAACAACAACTGGTGGACAGGATTCAAAACTCGTCACTTGTTCACCCAATGATAGATGACTAAATGGCACGTGGATACTCACACAATACTATTCTATGACTTATGTATGTATATAATCAAAGAAAAAATTAAAAACAAATACTTTTTGCAATGGTTCTATGAGATGAGACTTGATTTTGTATAATATATATATATATATATATATATATATGTATATGTATGTATGCCATTTTGGCTTCTAAAAGTTTGTTTTTATAACCACCAATTTAATAGGTCGAGTTGTATTACCAAGACTAGCAATGCTCTTAATCAAAACTCTATTTTGGCCACATACAATCTACAAAACATGTTTACCTCCATGGCTATTGGTTTTGGTTCTAGTAAGAAATTAGTATGTTTCTTCATTTTCTAAGGTTAAAATATATAATATAACTTTGATATAAAAATAATAGATAGAATATAATCTTTTAGTATTAAAGACAATCAATGAGAGCTTATTATAATTTGATTCAACATTTGATTTGAAAGATATTTTTATATAAGTAATAAGTAATAATTATTAAAAAAATTATTTGTGAAATTAATATAATAAAATAATAATTAATAATTATATAATTATATTTAAATCAAAAATAAAAAATACTAAAATAACTCCACCAATCATTATTTTAATCCACCCATCATCAAAATGACTAAAAATAACATCATTATCTAATGTCAATAGTATCTATATAAGTATTAAATTAAAAATTAGATTGTTAAGGTGCAACTTGTTACAATAAATACCATTGGCTTTGCAATTGAATTAATTGTGTATACTTATTTTTCTAAAGATATTTTATTAATAATTTTTTTATCAACACATTTTGCATTGTTTACTATAGTACTGCTTGTAATAGTAGCAATGCTTGACGAGATTAAATATAATCCAAACATGTTTCACAAAGCAACATCCAATAATATAAGCTTCACTTAGAATTGCAACAACATTATTGAGGTTGTGCATTACAAGATTAGGACATAGAAATTCTAAAAGGAATTTTTTTTACAATACTAAAAACATGCTTTTTAAACCATAATGAATACAATGAAAAGAGTTTTTATGTGGCAAATTTATTGTAATTCTTCAATAGGAATCTTAGATGGATAAATCACACAACAATTCAATAAGTGATATATGAACTTGTAGTCTCAATAAATTATATGATCTTTACTACTTATTCCTATTTTAGACTATAGTATCATCCAACACAATTATATTGTTGAATATGGAGGGGTTGGAAAAATAATTCATTGCTTTCTTAGATTTATAAAAAACAAAGAAAATAAACAAAAGCATGAAAGTAAGTATATATCTAAGATTCTTTCACTATATAATGCTTTAGCAAAATCTTCTTCTTTTTAGAAGTGAATACCTCTTGTTCACTCAACCAACTAGCTTTTTATTGTCAATTGCTTCAAGCAGGCATTTCTCTAGCTACTAATCAAGTATACAACAATAATATAACTATCATGAATACTCCCAAATTAAATCAAGCTTCCAAAATAATATTAACCTAAGTTGTGCATGGTATCAATTCCATATTATAAATCAAAATTATATCTAAAGTTTTATATAAATTTAAATAGTGCTACAACATCAAAATAAGCTTTGTTGGCCACAACATTGCCGAAATGACTTCAATATAATATCTTTGACTTAATTGATAACTACAATATTTATATTCTAATAAAATTGAAATCTCTTTGATCTCTACTTATCAATTGATATTCACAATGTCTACAATCTTGTCACATCAATAAATTTAGAAGAGCTTGGATTTAGTTATATGAGAAGAAAAAATAGTAGAAAATTTACAATCCGAAATTTCTTCTTATTTCTCTCATCTTTTTTATCTTAAATCCTAATATCATATATAAAAAAGAGCAAGAAAATCTCTTCCAACATCTTTTGCATGAAGTTGCTCTTGTTTTATCATACCACTCTTACTTTATCTTTTATTCTTATTATTTCTTGCTATCCATTGTTAATTGTATTAGGTTTATAATATTCACAAGTTTTAGTGGCCAAAAAATAATGGCTTTGCATATTGTCTTGATAGATGATACAATTCAATGCTAGCACATGATAAGTTTGAGGATAAAGTTCAGCGCTATATTCAAGTAAGAAGATATGTGATTAAGTAAGGAAGTCTATATCCAAGTATGAAAGACATTATATAAGATCCTACCTATAAGAAGGTTCATTTGGATCAATTAAATACACAAAGTTGTGAGCATATGTAGTTGTGCAAGTAGAATCAAGCGTGGACTTGTATTGCATATCATATGGCATTATAGATTGAAACATTCCTTCTTTAGATGAAGTTTTGATATATGGTGTTGGATTTGTATGATGACCAAATTTTTGTATTTAAAGAATTGTCTCAATTATTTATTTTTATTTTTATTATAGCTACTAGATTTATTATTTTTAATCATATAAGATCATTTTTTACAAAACATCTCTGAAATCTAATTTTGAATCAAAAAACTAATATAAAGACTACACACAAGAGACTATATGTATTAGGAAGATTATGAGTATGGGAGTTGTTTGAGGCATAGAATTCTAATTGAAGAAGTTTTACTTGTATAAGAGAAGTTAATCAATAAGATTTGATCTATGCATTATTTTTTAGTTTATTTATAAACCTACCTATGAAATGTGTAACTTTAAAGAAAACTTGTAGATGCCATATATATATATATATATATATATATATTGATTTAATAAGATTAAACCTTGTTCAAAAGAAAATTTGTCCTTTTTTCAAATGATTGTATTTTGAAATACTATGTATTATATAGCCAATTATTATAAATTGTGTTGGCAAGAATTGTGCTAATTTTTCTTATATATTAAAAGAAAATATTGGCACATCCTCTAGACAAAAAAATTCATTCATTTGTAGTAAAAGAGAAGATTGAGGGCATGATTACAGATATTAAGTAATGGTTGGAAATACCAAGTAAAGTGGTGATGAATTAATAGAGTCGATTGGTACATAAGCATAAAATAGAATATAAATAGTATATATAAATATTAATATAATTTATATTTACTTGAATATAAATCATATTTTTTTGCATAAGTACATGAGATATAATTTACAAAATAGAATACATTAGCTTGCTAGAATAGAACTCATTTCTAATCTTTCATTCAAACTACTTAGCAAGCGGATTACTCTAAACCTAAAGTGTATTTACATAAGGTTGCAATATTTTTATTATTAATTCAAATCTATTTGAAAGGAACCCAAGGTGATTGTTAATGAATCCAATTTAATTGGTAATATAGAGATATAAGGTTGTAAAGTATAATCATAGTAAGAAAGACATAAGAGAATGTTATGGCCAATGCTTTTGTAATTTTTGCAATAGCACATGTTTATACTTACATCTTTTAAATGTTCAAATAGTAATGGACTTTATTCTATAGAGTGTCTATTTATCATATTTTTTGATTTACATAGATAATTTTTTGAATAGCTTATTGGAGGATTTTCCAAATCTATAGTCATTTTTGCTAAGTCTAAGAGTTTTTTGCACACCTTCTGTTATTAGTGGGATGCAATAATCTCATATATCCAATTAACATCTTGAAAGAAAATATTTAATTTGACAACAACATTAGTTTCTTTTAGAGTGGATTAAACCATCAAAATTTGTAAGTTGACCAAGTAATATTAGATGTAAAAATCATTGGCTATCAAATCTTTTCAATGGTACAACATTCTTTTAATTTGATATTGACAACAAATGTTGAGTGTGGTTGTAAATGTTTCTAAACATACAATGTTCTGGCTATCCAAAAGTATCAATGCTAATTGAAATTACTTAAACATGAAATTGAGTGAATGTATTGACACCTTTATAATGATATTCTTGAAAAAATTAATATTATGAAGGTGGCATATATGCATACACTTAGAGCTCTCTTGAGTCTTAATTGCTTTGATTGCATTTTCAAAAAAGAAAGACAAAGAAATATATACATTTTAAAGATCTTTTGTAAAAACCTTGACATACAAATTCAAGGTAGAATATTCTCTTTTTACACTTGATGTGGTGACACAACCAATGTGGAGAATATTATTTTTCCAAAATTTGACAAACCATTTTTTGTAAAAATCTATCTTTCTTAAAGATATGAAATAGTTTCTTTTGTAAGAGCACAAGTATACTTGGCTCAAAAGTTCATCTATTATTTATCAAAACCTCTTCCATAGAGGAATTTATTACTACTATCAAATTTATAAGAAAGTTGG